AGAAAGACTGTGAAAATGGTTCTTGCAAAAGGAAGAAAAGAGGGCTGAAGAAGAGACGTCGGAGTAGAAGAAAGGCAAAAGGATAATCGGGAAGATAATATAACAAATTAACGAACAGGAGGATAATAAAAAGTAAAGATAGAGATAAGATTCGTTAAATTCGGGTGTTCACAAGCACCGCTCAGACAGGAGTTACGGAGCCTATGGAAGCAAGAGAAAGAGCAGGTCTAGGCCCAGTCCTTGACACAGTAAGCCGAAAGGTTAGCAAGAAGAAAGGAAATGCCGTTGAGAAGGAAAGGGTTAAGAATATATATTAATATTCGAAATGTTTTTCATTAGAAGATAGAAAAACAACTTCAATTTGCAGGACGGTGGACCTCAACGACGGGTATCTTCCGATTATCGAGAGACTTTCCCATCCTTTGAATTTCACAACGTCTTTAACCCTCGGTGTTTACAGAGAATTGTTTATTGATCTGACACCTGTGTGGTTCTTCGTGATTTTACTGTTTTGCGAGTGGTCTCGCGGTACCTCTGTAAAAGTCAATCACGTATCGCGGACCGCCGAAGGCGCACACCGTTATGGCTGCTAGGTATTGTATACACTGATTGTGAGAGCTGAAAAACAGTGATGGTTATAACATTTTTCCTCGTTTTTAACTTTTAGTCTTTCTTACAGTAACCATTACGTACCACTACAGTAAGCATTCTCCCAGTAATCAGTATACGGATTTTACAATAACTATTGCGGATTCTACAGTAATGAATATTGTAGATCAACTGATTGACTGTTACTTACTAATCCAGTATTGAATCAGTACTGTATTTCCACAATCATTACGATAAAAACCAGCAAGGTTGGGAATGTTACCTTAAAAAACTAACGCGTTACCGTTACCGTTACTTTTTGTAAAAAGTAACTCGTTACCGTTACTCGTTGCTAATTTTAAAAAGTAACGCGTTACCGTTACCGTTACTTAGAAAGTAATGATTCGTTACCTTT